ATCTACTTTGACCCTTTCGGTTCTTTCTCCTGAGGATGCGTCAGAACGCATTGAGCTGCAGTTGCTGCTCAATGCCCCCCAGGCGCTCGTTGAGTACTTCTGCCACAGAGGCCATGAGGACAAACACATACAGCAGCCTGGTCATCTGGCCTGTACACTTCTCTCTACACTTCTCTATAGACTTTACAGGGCAACAACAGCTATGGCTCATGTGTGCTTGCGTTAATCGCGCTAATAAAAAATGTATGTTAAAATGGGTTTTGTGTAAACAACATTATTAACACGTTTAACTGACAGCACTATATATATAATGATGGCTGTGCTCAGGTGTTCCAATATCATTGACTCCTCTCCGCTCTTGTTGAACCTTATGATTTGAACTTGGACCCCACAGCTTGATGATGCTGACAGGTGAACTGAAGGATGTCTTTGGTCTAACACCTTCTATGACCTCACAGCGGCGGTTCATTGATCTCCAAAGGGCTTCAATGTGGCCTTGTTCAAACACACGTGAGAGGACGCTCATATGTAAACATACAGAGCAGACAATAGCTGACACGGGTAAGTGCTGTGTTTATTGATAAACCAATTTAAACCAAAACCAATCCTCTTTCAAGACAGGAAATCACTTTTTGAAAGTATTTTCTTGTTTTAGATGTGTTTTGAGAAATACTTTATATCTTCTATAAATCCTGAGAAGTTAAATATAAAAAGCGCTGTCAAACTATTAATCACACATTTGTCCCTCTTCTAAATATCCCCTGATTTGGTTTGAAAAGGAATTGGATGAAGCCAAAAAGACACTATTTGGATTTTTTAATATAGGCTACTTAATCTCTGCTTTTGGTATTGATTTTTAAAGATTTACTTTTACAGCAATCATTCAGCGGTGATCTACATTGGATTTATGGTTTTTACTATTCAAAATATCACATTTCGTTCATAATACAGAAGTGATTAATGATCAAGTAATGACCTTTTCACATGTCATTGGCAAGAAATAAATACTTAGATAATCGGTTTAGAAGTATTGTAGATGGCACAAAGTACACATAAATCTGTCACAAAATTTGCAGTATGTGCTTGTGTTGTGTGGCACTTAAAGTAAATGTACATGTATGTCTGTCAAATGACCCACATAGATCTTTGGCCCATGGACCATGAGGACAAAGAGAAAACTGACTTTAGCTGCTGTACATCAGTCCTCTGGTCTGTTCTGTCCTCTACACTTCTCCATAGACTTTACTTGGACAGCAGCAGCTGAGGCACTTTTGTCTTGCGTTAATCGGGCAATAAAAAAAATTACGCTGTTAAACTGGTTTGTGTTGATAACAGCGCTATACACGGGTTCAACTGACAGCCTTTTATAACATAAAAATGAATCATTATATATATTTTGTAACATTACATTCTCGCTTTGATCAAATAACAGGAACATTAGTAGATTTGTATATTTATACTAGATTTATTTATATTTCATTGATGATCTCATTGTTGTTTTTCTCTCTGCACAATAGGAAGGTTTTAAAAATCCGGTCATGTTGAGGTGATACAAGGTAATGGCTTTGGGCTGTTTTTCTGAAGCAGAACAAAACGGCTATTTTTCTGAATCAGAACAAAATCAACAGTGCACATTAACAACAGTAAAACTTGGAAAAATACATAATCAGCTGAAATATCTGATGTATTTTGAAGAATCTAATGCTTTCAGGAAAAAAAAAAAACTCCACTATTTGTATATTCAGTCCAAACATGGCACAGGGAGAAGAATCTTGGGCACACTGCACTCAAACACAAACATATTTCTGTCCCCCACTTGGAAAGCCTCAGAGCTTCTCCTTGCTTCATTCAGTACAAATAACTTCACGGTGGGATAAAAGCATAATGTTTCCAGAAAACCTCTTCCCCCTGAAATGCTCCTTTTGGCCTGATGCACTCTCTGCACCCCTTCCCCTTGTACTCTCCAAAAGGACATTCTTATTTCATTAGAGGGGAGCCTGGGAGGCTAAGAGGGTAAACAAAACCTTGGTAATCAACAGCAGGACATATACACAACCACAAAGAGCCAATCAGAGTGAAGCATCCCCCTGAACACAACCATATCAAACCAGTCCAAGTCAACACCTGGACACGTACCACTTGAACTTGCCAATTTCAACTCAGCACATAGCTTTTAATGTAACTCAAAGTAAAGAAATACTTTAGAAGTCAAGGTTGTCCAGATAGACCCTAGTTTGGTCCTGTACATGTGCATGTTAAATTATGCAGGATGAGGCAGATAGTCTAGGGGATTGTATATGTATGATTGTCAAAATAGGGCAAATACCATATTCTGTTACGTCATGCAATAATTATGCAGAGATCTAATCGCCAAATCCTAATGCACATTTAATTTCCAAATGCAGCAATAAATATATTAGTATAACATTATGCGTCTGCTGAGTCCAATAGCATATAATTCTAAAGCAATATCTGTCTTGAGTCCTTCCAGATTGAAATAAGTATGCAATTTACTCATCCTTTTCTGCTCTTACTATCATCAAACTAATAAGTTTTGTTCAATGAAAGAGGGGTACTCAATGTATTCATGTTCTATGGAGGAAAGTTTTAAAGGTTATGTTTATTGTGTATGTTTGTAAAGGGCAAACACAGTTCATCATCATTTCATCATGGTCGCACAATTAATTCATAAACATTACCCGATACAAGATAACACAAAAACCTATCCAGAGTTGACATTGTTTTCAAATGAATTATTGTATTTCCAAACTTTGGTCAATTGCAATGCTCATTGCTTTCTGAAAATCTGGCAATCCTGTGCTTATTGGGCCCTATGCAGGCTGACTCACCCACAGACAGGGATTGCAGTGCATTTGTGCTGTCATCTCTGTTTGTTCACATTAGCAGCACTCATTCAGGGACAGGATATAAGGATTTGGGCAGGCTTTATTGCACTGCAGCTACATACTGCTAAATAGCTCCCATCTGTTTCCCCACAGCGTCCAGCTAATAACGGCTAGCTGTGCTAACGTTTTACACCACCAGAATAACATGGGCGGATAGATGAGCAGCACTGATATGGCTAGCCACAACATCACTTTGTGCTAAAGGCTAATGTCCCCGGCTTATTATATTAGATCAGGATAAGATGCACTAATACATGGGGACGGATACACACGCCTGCGGTTACCATATCTGATCAGAGATAGTGATCCAGTAGACTAGTCATTGATCCAACTACCTTGCAAGGGAATACACATTAATGAAGAGGTGGAAAGATGAAAAAAAAACGATGTGGAAGTGGAAAGAGAGACTGAGAAAGGGGGCAGTGTGGTCTGTTTCATTACGGTGAATCCTGACACTGCCACATTCTCCACACACATGGACTGGATTAGGGACTAGTATTTGTGGGCCACTTCAACGCTCTCAAATGCTCTTTCACTTGCAAGAAATGATGACTTAACGTGAACAAATTGCTGTACTTGTTGCAAAAAAACAAATTATTTGCTTACACATTTGCATGAAGACTACTAATCCTACAAGTTTCATGAAGCCGAAGTGCACAACTCACTAAGTCATTGAGGTTAGAGGGAGAGTTTGTTTGTGATGGTCCACCTGTGGATTACTGAGGGCAAGGAATGAGATGCATTGGAAACTATTAGTACTGTGCTGACTGCTCCACTCCCTCTGCTCTGTTCTGCTCAATGTTGGTGATGTCAGTATTCTCATGTTTTTAAAAAAAAAATAACCTTTTTTAGTAATCATTCAGAATTTACCATTTTCTTTTTCCCCATTGTAAATAATCTGGTTAATGAGTTATGTCTAAGGCTGGACACACAGAGACAAACAGGCAAACAGGTAATTCATATCATAAAAGTAGTTAAAGCTATCCAACCTTAATACAACAGTCTCAAAACGTTTTGGTTCAAATGCATACTCTGTATTTTTGGCCTCTTTAAATCAGCTTTCTCAGTGAAAAGGAGAGTACCAATCCACATCAGCTTTCAGTATGTAAATTATAAAATGTCTTCTAATAAGATGTGGTTTGATTTGTTCACGAAATAGCATACTTGTTTTTAATCCAGCTGTGCCAAATACAGAAGCTGGATGGGTTAGAAGAAGTGTTTTGGAACGGGCAACTACGATTACTAGAGACATCATGAATCACAATACGGCGATTTGATTAGAATAGCAGATTGTCACAGTAATGACCCTAGCCAGCCATTGATGTCTTTCACTGCTGCTACTGTAGTGCTACCCCTACCACGTTTTGAGAGCACTCGCTTGAGGCCATATTGCTCCTTGCCCAGATCTCTACGTACATTCAAAAGCATCCTCAAAGTCAATGGGGGGTTCAATATAAACTTCCACAACAGGAATTATGGTTTATGACTGTGCATTCTTGATTTTATGCATTTTAAGCTTACAGCAGAAAAAAAACTTGACTGTTTGGCTCTATTGTAATTAATTGCCCCTACACACTGGCACCAGGGTTGGGTGGTGGTGTGCTAAAAGTTTACAACTGAAAAAGCAGGGCATGGACAGACAGACTAGTTCATCTCTGGTTTTCCTCACACTGTCGTTTTTATCACCGCAGGGCCCCAAAACATGCTTTTTATCCCGCTAAGTATGTATAGGTCTCGAGGTTCAGAGCATAGCCTTAAGACTATGTGAACAATCAGTCGGCCTGTAAGCCCTGTACAGAAACACAGCCATAAAACACAACTGAGGGGGCCCTTAAGTCAACTAAAATTCATATGCAAAAGGAAATAGAGTGGGTCTTGTTGCAGTCGCTTCAGTCGGAATGGGGTACTTCTGTGGTTATTGTGGTGCCATCAATGTTTCCAGCTACTGCACACCAAACCCCACACTAGGAACTCGTTGGGAATAAAGGTCATTAAAACATGTGGAGCAAAAATACAGTACAAATGAGCAGTGTATTATCTATAATACAAGAAAATATCCATGACTTACTTTGAAAGGTGCACTGGAGGCAGTTGTCATGCCCATATCCCCTCTTCATCATCCTTTAAGAGAATACAACAAAACATATTGTGTCACTTTCTGTCATACAACCAGAGTGGTTTTTTGACTGTGTTCCCACATTTATAGAGAACTTGAATATACATTTGAATGTAGTCAACAAAAAGGGGTGTTGTATAAATCTGACTTGTGTAAAGGTAAAGGTAAAGGTGCACTTTATTGATCCCTGTAGGGCAATTCATCCTCTGCATTTGACCCATTCTGATGCCGCTAAGGCAAACGTCAGGAGCAGTGGTCGCCATAGTACAGCGCCCGCCGGGAACCCATCTCCAGATGTTGATGCTCGGCTTGGTCAGGACCGGAGTTTTTAGATGTGTTATAAGTTATCAATAAATCATCCACTCTTAATTCAAATACAAACTATAACTTTTGTTCTGAGATTGATGGGCAAAATGTGTTTCTATTCTAAAGGGACAACATCAGTGTCAAAGGGCATATGTGCCAGGTTAATATATTGTTTCAAGCACCAGACAATCAGTTAAGAAAGCAGAAAGGACAGCCTTGAGTTACATATATGAAAGAATGACTTTGTTTGTTCAATATGTGAAGTAGATGTGTGTGTTTGTAGATACGAGTTACTGCAGAACTACTGCTTAACCTTAACCCTCTTTCACTCACTGATGTTTCTCACGGTTTGTCCCGAGTTGACGCGCCATTTGGTAGGATTGTAGAATCAAAAATCCTTCAGTTACATTATAAATACTCGTTACAATAAGTTATAATACATATATGACACTACACACAAATAACTTACTCAGCACTTGACGACATTCATCACTTAAACCGTTTCCGAGTGCAAAGAAGACAACTGTGGTGTACACTGTGGTTTACTATAAATCTGCCCCTGCAGCGTTTCTGTCATCTCCCATTTTGTGGCCCACCTCTCCTGACTTGTATCAATATAATATGTTTTTCAGTTAGAATATTATATCATGGGTCATGAAATATCATAGTATCATAGATACACAAGGGATTTCCTTTGGGTTGAAACTGTGCAGATCAAGCCCTGCTAATAAGAAAGCTAATTCACCCAGACACTTACATTACGATTGTTAGCGTGAGCTGGCAGCTGACTGTAGTCTGTGTAATGCTAAACTCGGCATAGAATAAGATAAAGTCGCCAATACTAAAGAAAAGCTCCAATTCAGTAAATTTTTTGGCTCAATTGACTGATTTTGACAGGACCAGTAAACTGTTTGCTACACCCAAGAGTGATTAAGCTATCAATATAATGGCCTTTCAACATGCTAGATACAGGTTTATATTGCTGAACCTGATTGTGTCACGTTTGGTGAACACAGCTGGAACTATTGCCATGTATTCTGCAAGTTTTGAGAGTTATATGGTGTATCACTCAAATTAATACCACACATGTGCATAGGATGGACTGTGAAACATGAAGAAGAGCGCAATATGGAACCCTTAAATCACAATGAGTAGAGAAGGCATTTGTTGAGCTTCTATATATGATTCTATACTGATAAAATTCAATAATTTTTTCTTAAAGATGATCCAAGGAAGAATTGTTGATATAATGATTAAATGAGTTCAGTATAAATGTTACTGTACTCACATTACTAGACAACCTACTTTCATTTTTTGGTTTCCTACTAAATTAAATATACTTTTTTTTAGTATTTTTACTTTTACCACTAGTTCAGCCTCTGGGGTATATTCTGTGATGCAATGAGCAGTGTTCTAGTGCCAATACATCAAAAACAAGGGGGATCCCCACTGCATGTTTGGCTCAAATCCTGGCCGCCGCTGAATTGTTAATTAAGTCTTAGAAATACTGTATGTATCAGCAACACATTTTGGAATGCAGGTGGAAATCCCCAGGTATTGCTTATTGCTTCATGCACACGCACACATATAGAGCAGGTTAATGGTTAAAAACACAGGCAGCTTTGCAATAGACACACATTTTTCATCTTTATAGACTTGGAATCTCCCTTAGTCAAGCTCGCTGACAACAATAGCCTTGTGATGAGTTTATGTTACATGTTTATATGGAGAAACCATTATCCGCTAATGGAAAAATGGTAAAATCATCTTTGACAGCCTTTGTAGATGTTTTTCCCCGCTGCCAGTGGTCTCATCCAAGTATCAACATTGGATCCTATGGCTCAATACCTTCGTAACACACCTACATTACACTATATGCAGCTGATTACATTTTTGTTTACTTTCTCTGCTATATATATGCATCGCTGCGCTTGGGGCAATCTGGATGTTGAACTCAGACGGTGAAGACGGTGAATGATACATAAACTAATCTCACACACCAACGCCATCTATCAAAAACACCCATTTGGCAGCTTGTAGCTTCAGGGCGCTTATCTAAATTATGTGAATAACCCACACTTGGCAGGAAGTCATATGGCTGACGGAGAGGAGACAGAGAAAGGGGATTTTGAGAGCTGTTAAGTGCGACCACAACTGACTGATGGAGGGATGAATGCGAGATTGCAGAGGCAGCGATGTGGCAAACTATGTAAACAAGATCATGCTTCAAAGTGCTAGATCCTCATGCCCCGGTATGCAGCCTCAGACAGAGCACTCATGTCTAGCCATGATAGATCTACAACATCCTAACCTGGAATTTTGACTTTTGGTACAAAATTGTAGACCCAAACACTCTTAAACCATTGCCACTTTTGGTCTGTTTCCAAAAAAAAAAAGATTCATGAGTCAATTTTTTCTTGTTTCCATTTAATAAGTTCTTGGAAGTATTGTATTGTCTTAAAGGTCTATTGTGTGTACTTATATATTAAAAGTATCTATTTTATTTACTTTTTCACCATGAGCCAAAGCAAATTCCTAGGCTGTGACTTCCTGTTACTTACAATGGCATGAAAAATAATTCTGATTCATAGTGTCTTGCTTAAGTAGACAATCAGAATCATGTATACTTATAAAGGATCGAGCTGATACAGCAGGCTGTGTAGTCCTGACCTGGTCTACGTGCGGCCGGTGGTTGGCATGTGGAGGTCCTCTTGGAAGACTTCTGTGGTGCATGTTTGCTGTGGGTAGATGGTGAGAGTGGTGGGGGTGATGCTGGGGGTGCAGAGGCTCATCTTCATAGTTGTCCGAGATAAGCTTCATTCTATTCTGCGTCTGAAAGTCAGCAAAAATAGATTTACTTTTGGGAATAAGACCAAATGTAAAAATTAAAATCACGCCTAGGTTTGCCATACAAGGTTTACATGTAGTATAATTAAACAGAAAAAGAAAATAAACTACTGTAAACTAGTGAATTATAACAATAATTTTCAATCATTATGTTCAAGCATCATCTCCAAAAGCTTTGCATAGTTCACACACTGGCTTTTTGTTTTGTCCAAATGTTTATGGCATCTTACAGTGATTATGCTTTTAGGGTTTGGATGAGAGCAGGGAGTGTGGAAAGACATAAGCGATGATAAAACACGTTGCCGCTAACGACTTTTGACAGCTCATAAACTGAGTTAGTCACATTTGACAGATGAGAAAATCACAAGTCTGTCAAATTTGATCCATAATGCCCATCATCATCTAATTGGATTAAAAGCACTTTTCATGTTGTGTCAGAACATATGCAGCCCAGCAGCATTTGTCATACTTTTACAAAAGCATTTCTGTAAGGTTTTAAGAGGATGACTATGGAATTTGTTTGTGTGCGTTCCTACTGCTGTTGACGAGCATTACCAGTCACTTATGGTCCGATGGGGCCCGCTGTCAAACAGACAGACTGAGTGGGTGCAGATACACTGACAGCTTTTCTCATAAGTACTGACCCCTGGGACTATACATGGAAGTCAGCAGGATAAAAAGTTAAGTAGAGTAATGAGTGATATTGGTTATAGTAAAAGGGCCACTGCGTTTAGTAATTGGTGATCGCATGTATAGAAGTGACGCAAAATCACACTGGCAGATAATAATTGGGTGTAATGTGAATATTTAAGCAGATCAACTTCACGTACTGTATGTTCAGAATCCAGGAGAATCAAAATGTTGTTGGTTAATTAATAAATGGATTTTGAAGAAAGAGCCTTTTAACTATTACACCCAGCAAGGAGAGGCAAGTTTAGTTGTAGGTTCAATGATTTCAAAGGCTTTACAGAACAAGAAAGGAAACATTAAAATCAAGCAATTAAACATAAATAATTACACTATTACAAATAGTGAACCTTCTTTCGTGATGAAAAGCAGGAGATGTTCCAGTAGTCAGCAGCCTAAGGACATTGAGGCTCAGATAAGAAACTGCAGCCAATAATGACTATGGGAAACGAGCCAGGCGGGATCACAGGAAAGGATGTGGCTGGCACTTAAGATGTGAACCATTAGCTTTAATTGAAGAAGAACTTCAGATAAGGTGAGAAACATGACACCACAGCAGGAGAGGGACGCACACAGAGATAAAGATGAGAGAGGGACTAGACAGACAGCAGACTGGAGCAGTAAAGTCCAGGCTGAGCTGTACTTCCCTTTATGACCTCAGGTGTTGACACTAGCAGGTGTTACTGGGTGGGGCTTGTTCTAGACACCTGTCATTGAAGCCTGGACAATTACTATTATACTCACAATTGTACAGGCAAGGGCTATAAGTCTATTGTATGCAGGTCATTAAAGGACAATAAAGTATACCTTAAAGCTTGGGTACCTAAGAATGTTTCTAATAAAATGTTTATGTTTTTCACATTTCTGTCTGTTGAATAGCTGATCTAAAGATGGACATTACATGCATGAGAATCCTATTGATAGCACGACATTGTTTAAGGAACTAGTTAAATGGATTTTATTACATTGTATTATCATTGTTTGGTGGTTTAAAAGTAGGTTATTCTTTAAATGGCCGATACTAAAAGAAAAAGCTTTGGGAAAACATATGATTATCTAATAACCATAAAAACTACCCCATTAACTTCATTGATGGTGTGGTCAATGTTAATGCCTTCCTTTAAACAAATAGAAAAGACGTTGATGTTTAAACTTCCCCATTTCCAGGGAGCAGTGCAATAATAAAGCACATGATTAAACTAGGGTAAACAGAATATTTCACAGAACGGCCAAAAATAAAATGCGACGTGTTCACGTGTAAGCGGGACAATATTGGTACAGACTCAAATATTGACCTTGGGCCTTAATGAGAACCAGTAAGAGGCAGGAAATGGCAGTGGAACAGTCTGTATATGGCAGTGGAACAGTCTGTATATGGCAGATAGATAGGAGACAGGAAATGAAGCTTAATTGTTTTCCCATTCTTAACACCTCTTTAGGCAAATATCATTTTAATATTTGTTTTTACGTGTAGGGATTTGATCTAATAACTTTTTATTGACAGGCTTAGCTTTGTGAATGAACAAAGCTGGTTTCTAATCTCTTTTTGAGGAATGATTATTTTGAAAGAAAACATGTGCTTCCAGTAAACAGGGCAATAAAAAGGAAGGGGCATGAATGCATTTTAACCAGTCAGTTACAGGCTGTGCAGAGTAAACACGGTGGACCGGCGGGCTGCTTGTAGTAGACACAGGTGGAAGTGGACAGAGCACGACAAAGAAAGACGAGTTCTTTAGTGACGTTTATGGCAATAACAGATTTGTCTTGTTATTTTACGACAGTGCATTGTGTGCGTCTGTGTGTATCAAAGTGCAGCTGCTGATAAACACAGCCATGATGCTCCCACGGCAGAGAGCACAGCTGCCTCAAAAGTTTATCGTCCAAACCTGTGCTAAATCACAGGCCTGTCTCTATGCTGTTAACACATAAGGACAGAGACGGCTGGAGGGAGAATAATTAAACAAATAGCTAACAGGATCTCGATGACAGCAACGTAAGGATATAACCTAATGCATTTTGTGAATGTTATTTATAATATTTCCTGAAATAAGCAAACGTTGAAATTGTTTATACGAGCAGTACCTTCTCCATAACAGCAACAGTTAGCTTTCAATGGGGTTTATACAGTTTTTACTATATATTACAGGATAGAGACATGTAATGTATACATTTGTAATGGTGGTGGGATAATGATTAATTATATTTGAATTATTCAGTGTCAGATTTATCATTCCTGGATGATTTGGGAAGCATCTTGGAAAAGGGTGAAGTGTAGCATGTACTAGCAGTCCCATGGAATGTTGAAGATTCCTGCTGAAGAAGAGTCATAATCATTGTTTAGCTTAATCCCTTTGAATACATACATTTTACATAGTTTACAAAACTCTTACTCATACTTGTCCTGGACAACAAAATGTTCCATCGATAATCTTCCCCTGTCTTTCAAAAAAAAGTGACTTTGCTTGTCGCAATGTAAAGATTTCTTTTCTATAGAATCATAAAGGTGATATACTTAACATTCAATCCCTTTAAATACCGATTGAACAAAAACATCTAATTAGTCAAAATATCATCAGTTGAGGGACTGTTCTTGATTCACTGCATGTGAAATATTTTAATTTTGAGCATGTTAAACCTAAAAAATAAAGAAACTTTTGTTTTATTACATACATTTAATGAGGTCAAACAGAGTAGTGAATTAATGCTAAAACTGCCACTGTCAAATGAAAAGCTTTGATCGATAGAAGAATCAATGAAGCTGTAAAAAAAAGCAGTTAAAAAGGGCCAATTGCAAATTCATATATTTTCTTTATTTCAAAGCAAAATTAAAATTCAGTGATTTTCAGTGATCAGAACTCCTCACTGCAGGATGTCTAAAAACTGTACATTCAATGTGTGTGGCTGTGTTGCATGTTTTTTTTCTACAGAAATGGAAGCTGTCCATAAAACACAACATTCATCTATAGCAGCACTATATACAAGAAGTGGGATGCAGTGAGGTCAGACGGGGCATTGCTATCTGTAAATCTATCGGTTGTCTACAGATCAGCTTTCTCCTTGGAGACCTTGACTCCCATAATTTTTTGGCATTTCCTGGTCAAACTTCCTGGTCCCACTGGCTTCTGGGGACCTTTAAAGAGTATCCAAACCTGGTATGTGTGTCAGTGGGTCAGGAGACTGGGAATATAACCCACAGAGAGACTGGGTTCAGGTTTTAGCTGTACTTTTTGAAGATTACAAATTCTCACATAAAACGCTTATGAAGGTAGGTGGTCCTTAGGTAACACATCATGGTACAGAGTAACTTGATTTAGATTATTAAAATAAAAGTAACTATGAGAAATTGTGTAAAATTTGTGCAGCTCTCATTTCAAAAGTCTACTTTTCTTTTAATCTATCCTCAATGTTCCAGGTCCGTAGGGTGGTTGGCCATTTCACAAATTTGAACTCATCACATCAGGTGGACTGTAACTGCTTCTTCAACCAAACGGGAAAAAATGACGCACCGACTGGCGATAAACAGATAATAGGCTTTCCTTGAAATTCCACCAATGGAATGGCACCCCTCAGGACTTGTTTACAGTTTACGAGACGGGAACAAACATAGCTTCGCACTTCTAACCACACACCCAGTCAATGCATCTGCTTGACTTTTAAAAATACGTTTCCCAGAAGCCCCCTTCGTGACTCAGGGGACTATGTAGACGTCCCACTGCGAACTCATTATTGTTAGCATTCAGGTAAGTTCAGTCAGCGATGAGGTCCTGAACTAAAGCTAATCACTCACATACCTTCATCTGCCAGTGGTCATATTCAGAACTATTGCATGGTGGGATGTCTGGGTGCAATTGTATGTGCATTGGACATTACCCAGAGGAAGGTAGACATAAAAGTATGCATCTGACTCAGCAGTGACACATGCCGTAAGCCACTTGCTCAGCTTTTACGTTTATGAGTTGACATTTACCATAGCAGCTTATTTTTGATTAGTTTATTTTGTGATGACTGATTGCTCTATATGCGGTTTGAGGCGGAGAGTTCTATTCTGTTTATTAGCCCAAATTATTAACCTCTATCTGTTTCTGCTTTGGAAGTTCAAAAGTCTACCCAAGAGGCTTCTCTAATTCACACAAGACTTCCCTTTTATTCTGCAGCAGGTTTGAATTTGTTGTGCTTGCTACGATGTATAATACCACTAAATGTTAACCACAAGGCCGGGATACAGTCTGGCTCAAGGGAGGAATAGTTGGCCTCTTGTTGAACACATTGCAGACAATTATAAAATAAAACCATTACGTGACCCTACCTGTTGTTTTAACTGGTGCATCAGTCGGTCTTTCTCCCTCTTCAGAGCCATTATTTCTTCCTGGGCCTTTTTCCTGTTTGAGCAGGATATTTCCAGAAGTGCGATGTTTGCGTCCTTTTCACTGATGGCAGCCAGAAGAGACTGTTGCCTGAGAGCAACAGAAAGACAAATATCATATTTACTATGAAATACATCAGTAAGTGTGGAAGTGGAAAAATCATCCAAGGAAAATATTGTTTTTTATGATGCTGAGCCAGTCCAAATGCATAATGTATATAAACTTTTGTTTTTGTTTATTTATTTTCAATTCAAGATAATACATTCCAATAAAATCATGGTAGGTCTGGTAGATCAATACATAATTTTCACAATATAAAAATTGTAACTATTTGAAGGAAATTAGAATATATTTAAGCTTTTAAAAAATAGAACTACAACTGCTTAACTTGGGAAAAAACATTTCCCTTCCGCAGTTTTTTGTTAGCTTTGGAAGAGTACTTGGGATCATTGTCCATTTGGAACCATGAATCAGATTAAAGCTCTTTCTAACTGCGACAGAGCTTTAACTCCCTCACTATGGTCTTATTGTTTCATCGAGTGAGGCATCCCCCTCCCTGCATCAAAACACCCCCAACCTGATGCTGCCCCTCATGCTTCACAGATGAGAGGGTTTTCTTCAGCGTGCAAACCTCTTTTTTCCCCCTCTAAATATGATGATGGTCATTATGGCCAAAACCACCACCAAAAAGACAGACTGCTGTTAGCCAAAACACACAGGGATAAAGATTTGACTTTGTGAAGAAGTATAGTCGGATGAAACAAAAGTTTAACTGTTTAGCCTTAATGACCAGCGTCATGTTGTGGGGGTATTTTGCTCTGAAGTTAAGTAAGTAAGTAAGTAATCTTTGTTTATATACCGCTTTTTCACTGCACATCGGAGTCTCAAAGCGGTTTACAGTTGTGCTGTTATGAATAACAGCTGATTGCTGAATGCTCATTTCCTCCTAATAATTTTACAATTTCAATTATGAAAATAATGTCTTGATCCACATGACCTAGCACAGAAAGTTTAAATTGGGTTAAACATTATGAATTTTAAAAAACACAAATGACCAATAATGTTGTATTGATGTATGTAAACTTTCGGTTTCACTGTACTGTACAAGGCAGACAGGTGGACACTGCGATGATAAATACACAGCTGTGTGCTTATAAGCAGATGTCATGGCTCCTTGCTCAGATTGGTTTTCCACACATAGGAGAAAGACATCTTTGAAGCTGCCCACTAAGTGCGGTATTAGTGGTACCTCGGCATGACTCATGTGGAGGTAATGGTGCAATGGAGTGGGCTGAGGAGGATATGACATCTTCTGTGTGACTGAGCCACAGTCACTGTGGTCAAGAGTGTGGTGAGATGCCAGAGATAAGAGCCACCACTGTCTGCAGGTGTTCAGGAAGTTGTCTGAAAAGTTTGCCAAAAAGTGCCCACAACCAAATGGTAATGTTATTTAGGAGAGCGTTTTCCAAAGCACATGGGACCAGACATGCTTTGGCTATAAGGACGATGACACAAGCATTTCACTGTTATGTTAGAGTTTGTCTTTATTTTTTGTATCCATCTCCTCTCAAACAAACTAAATTAATTACATATGGAAATCAAGTCTCAGGCACCTTGAATAGTATCATATGGTTTTAGTTTTGAGAAAAAGAAACACTCAACACTATCTTTTGTAAGATACTGTAATGTCAAACACAACTTGCTCATATAAAAAAGCTCATTAACTATTCTAACTATGAGGTCCATGTTTTGTATGCGTCCAGAAACTTCTAAATGGCACTTGTTTACACATATTTGTCTGACACAGTAAAGCGTAACGATTGAATGAAACTTAAGGCCGTATCAATGTTAAAAATCAAAATCACAAAAAATAATGTTGCTATTGAGACCATGTAACCATCAAATTAGCATTTAGAAATGTTAGTCCTCATTCCAAATTGTGCATGTTTAAAACTGTGTGACAACAGTACAGCTACAGTACTTAAAATTGTGTGTGTGAGGTGAAGGAAAAGGCAAAAGAGAGCAGCGGGAGGGGTGCTTCAGAAATACACTCAATTAAAAAATGACCAGCAATAGATGGTGTTTTTATTCCATGATTTAAGTCCCTGTAGAAAAAACCCAATGGTAAAAATAAACAAGCTGGCCCAGGACTTCACATTCAGTGTTTTTAGTGCAATTATCTCCACGCAGCATCTGGACTCTCACTGGATTCTCCCATTGAAGTCCATTAATAGGTGCCTATACATGTGCGCTTGACATAGATTGTAGCAGCTAATCATACCATTAATCACAGGGCTGCACTGGGCTGACACATTTCGTCTCCCAACACCTCTGCTGTTATTTCTTTAAACCTGACTGTAATGGACACACGCAGGCCGACAGCTTGGACCAAGACCAGCGCAAATATTTTACAGTGTCGTTTTTTTCTGCGTGATTGGAAATGGGAGTAAATACAGTACGTTTTATGACATGCAATTGAAACAAAAAAGTAAGCAGTAAGTCTAGTGTGAAAAAGAAGCCTGTGAGTCACTATTTGACACCGAGAGCTGAGAGACGGGTGGTTTTCAACTGAAGATGTCATTGGCCAAAAAATGCATGCATGTGGTGACCAGAAACAAACTGTTTTGAGAGCAAGGAAGTTAGTGGTTTGAAAGTTAGGTACCACAGCTTTAAAAATAAAATAAATCTTGTGTGAGATATCAAAATAATGTACTCAAAAAATGAAATTATTCATTTAAAATTATCTGTGTCTAAATGAGAAAGAACTTGGGTTTAGTATTATAATGTAACTGCCAAGATCAATATAAAATCCAATAGTTGGTGGCTCCTTTTTTTCATCTAAAAGAACGACCGAAAGTAATCATTCCACTAAAACCACTATTAACCACAAAGTGGACATTCGCCTCAGTATAAGCACATACCTTTGCCAGCAATATCAATTTGTAAAAGTGAAATGATTCTGGAAGTCATCAACATTTATCTCTGATTTATCTATCGACCTAAACCTTTTTTCCTAACGACACCACAGGCCCAAAGTAGCCACACATGCCTCATTGCAAATCACTTCCAGCCTCAAAATTAACACTGCAGCACTATATAGATGGTCCATTCCCTGTGGGCGCGTTCTAACTGGTACAGGGAGACCGTGGCGCTGAGTGATGTCTTCCTAAAACAATAAAAGAAGCATTAATATGATTAGCGGTGCTGTAATGTTTGTCTCCCACATCCTCAATCAGGGTTTTCACCGTGGACATCACTGCTCACTGATTACTATTAAACACTTCTTTGAACTTAACACAACATTTCATCTGGTTTAGTTTTAACCAATGACTGTCCTTAAATGTAACTTAAGCTTTGGGAATGGGAACTACAGTATACTGTATCTCAATAAGGACAAGCTTGTGTGGTTCCAATATTATATTATTCCCCCTGTAAACATATGTATATTCTTATTCCTTGCTTGAAAAAACATACTGTATAGCTGGAGTTCCTGACTTTGACACCACAACGCATTTGTGGTGTCAAATATAGAATGATTTACTAAAGAATATAATTCATGTAACTAGTTTCTAGATATCAAAACTGTAAGGTCCTATCACTAGTTTCCACATGGATGTATTATTAGCCTTTGTACCATAATTAGATCAGTTTTTTCAGTGAAAATAGCTGATTGGACGATCAGTATGTAAAAAATCCAATATTTACAAAACAAGATACAGAATGTTGATAAAAAAAGATGCAAAATGTTATGTTATAGAAATGGCACAACATTATACAAGACTGCAAATTTTTTTTTAATCCAGCTATAATATTTTGCACATACATTTTTAGCATCATAAACTAAACAGACACCTGATAGGCCAATAAATCAACATATACATCCCCAGGTTCAATAAACTTGTGTTGCATGATATGTGTGAAGTCTATGATAAAAGCAAGATAAAGTGATGCCCAATGCGTGTCCAAAGCATACAGGCCCTCTTCACAGAGATGCATGGACAGGTCTGACATCTTATTTATAAGGGGTGAAATTCTCAGCTCCACTGCAACATGTGATTCCAATTGAGACGTCATGGTCCATGGGACATATTGAGACATTGAGATCTAGAGAGGTGGGAGATGGATGGCTAAAGTACATGACCATGCGATGAGAGGTGAGAGGGAACCGAACACGAGCAGGTCAAGGTCAGAAGGGGAGGGACAAAAATGCGTAAGAACAAATTTGAGAAAACAAAGACACGGGCCCCAGGATCCCAGCTTCTTCTCCTCATATTATTAAAGGGTGTTGGTTTTTGGATACAATAGTTGCATGTATGTTTATAGATGCATCTTCTACCACTTGCATCTCCATAGATTGTGACTGGGCCTTCTCTTGCTTTCTTTCATGGACATGTTGTGTAACTATAATATATATTTAATAAACAGAATGAAAATTAATTTATCCAGTTCTAGAATAATGATTCCAAAGAATGATTTTGTTTTTCTAATATGGGGTGAGGTGCCTCAAATAAGTGATATGGTATAAAAACCAATGTTAATAATTAAAAAAAAGATCCAGGTGAAGTTTCATACAGCATGTTAAAGATGCATCATTGCCCACAATGTGCTTTGAAAGTATTTATTATATCTGAGCCAAAATGTAATCTATGTCTGAGCTGTGCAGCGTTTGTTCCCACTTGACTCCAGAGATAATTTCAATATGAATACATTGTTATTGCATGATTAGGCAATTCGACCCAGGGGACGAATAACGCTCAAAATGATTTTGGCACATTGTAACATAAAATGTTGAACATGGTTTATTGACATTAGACAATACCAGAAATATTGCATGACATGTGCACGAGGAAATTGAACAAACATGAAGCTGTAACACCACAGGGGTTCATAGACCCTGACACTGATGGCAGGTTGCTGCACAATCAGCAACTTAATGAAGAGACTGTAAGGAACAATTTAAATGCAGCCATGAAGTGTTGCTGTGATGTTCGGTTTTTAAATTATTTTCTTAAATTGATTGTAAAATGTGTTTTAAAGACATTAAGATTGTGGTTATCTGAGTATCTAGCTAGTTTAGAATGTTGTTAATG